AATTTGTGGACAATTTACAAGTTAAGTAAAACCGAAATCATTGTTTAACACTTGTTGAAATTTGTGGACAATTTACAAATTAAGCTAAACCGAAACCATTGCTGAACACTTGTTGAAATTTGTGGACAATTTACAAATTAAGCTAAACCGAAACCATTGCTGAACACTTGTTGAAATTTGTGGACAATTTACAAATTAAGCTAAACCGAAACCATTGCTGAACACTTGTTGAAATTTGTGGACAATTTACAAATTAAGCTAAACCGAAACCATTGCTGAACACTTGTTGAAATTTGTGGACAATTTACAAATTAAGCTAAACCGAAACCATTGCTGAACACTTGTTGAAATTTGTGGACAATTTACAAATTAAGCTAAACCGAAACCATTGCTGAACACTTGTTGAAATTTGTGGACAATTTACAAATTAAGCTAAACCGAAACCATTGCTGAACACTTGTTGAAATTTGTGGACAATTTACAAATTAAGCTAAACCGAAACCATTGCTGAACACTTGTTGAAATTTGTGGACAATTTACAAATTAAGCTAAACCGAAACCATTGCTGAACACTTGTTGAAATTTGTGGACAATTTACAAATTAAGCTAAACCGAAACCATTGCTGAACACTTGTTGAAATTTGTGGACAATTTACAAATTAAGCTAAACCGAAACCATTGCTGAACACTTGTTGAAATTTGTGGACAATTTACAAATTAAGCTAAACCGAAACCATTGCTGAACACTTGTTGAAATTTGTGGACAATTTACAAATTAAGCTAAACCGAAACCATTGCTGAACACTTGTTGAAATTTGTGGACAATTTACAAATTAAGCTAAACCGAAACCATTGCTGAACACTTGTTGAAATTTGTGGACAATTTACAAGTTGAAGTTAAGCCGAGTTAAACCAGTATGATGTTCAACACTTGTTAAAAGTTTACAAGTTAAGATTAAAACCAAGACGTTTATCTATCCGAGGTGTGTCACCCCGAGAAGCTTATACAAAAAAGGAAAGGTATGTGAAAGACTTGCAGAGTATTCTAAGTATAGAGTCATGCAGAAGCAATGAAGAGAAGACAAGGGTGCAAGCAGTTAGAAAAAGAAAAGTTGTATTAGCATTCACCAAGAAATGGGCACACCGACCATACAAAAAGCTTACATTGTTCCAAAAGATAAAGAAGAAACAAAATACAAATAAACAAAAGAAAAACATGAAGCTACGACTCCTCTCTACTAGTTGGTTGAATTTGAAGATCAGATGTTTATTGAGAAGACATCTCAGCAGCATTATCTGCCGCGACCTCGGCGTCAATTTCTGCAAGAGTGTCATCAAGGTTCTTATCAGCAAGGGTGGCATCGGCTGAATCCTTCGCATAAGCAGCGTCTTTGTTAATCTCATCGCCTTCTTCATCCTGAGTCAAGTCTAGGACTTACTCATTCTGAAGAGGGGACTTGGCCCCATCAACATCTTTGGATTTTCTTACCAAAGCCTCATCCTCTTTCTCATCACCATCCTCAGACTCAGATTCGCTGATATCTTGACTTGGAGGTTGAGCTGGAGGGAATGGAAGAGGAATGGCATCAGCTTTCCTCAGTGGTGAGTCCTCTAAGACATTAAGTTTCTTTAGAAAGGACATCCAACCAAGGGTGAAACCCTTGTTGCATGCCTCCTTCACCTATTGTTCGTAGGCATCTGTGACATCGGCCATGCCTTGGGCATACGCCTTCTCGTCGGCTTCTTTTATTTCGGCTTCTTTGGTGGCCAGTTCCTCCTGAAGCTCCTTTTCGACTTAGATCATTTTTTTCTCGGCTTCTCTCTTCTGAGACTCAGCCACTTTCCTGATAGCCTCAGCAGCCTCGGCCTTCTCTTCGATATTGGTCTGAGCTTTGATTGCAACCTCGGCTTGGTCCTCCAATTTTTTCATCTTTGATTGAAGACCTTTGTTGGTTTTTTGAAGAGAAGAGAACTCCCTCTTCCTATCAACCAGCTTCTGCCGATTTTCGAAAGACTGAACAGAAAAAGAGTAGGCATGCTAGATGGCCTGAAGAAAACACAAGGTAAAAGTTATTCAAAATTTTCTAAGTATGAAAAAGAAAAGGAAAAGTGCTAGATGAAGGACACTTACTTGAACAGAACGTTGAAGCATCAACGCATAGTTTTTGTATTTGCTCAACTCGGCGTTTCGCTCCAGATCACCTAGTAACAGCAGAGCAGTGCTGAGCGCAACGCCGACATTAATATCTTCGGCACTATCATTTGCCATGACTAGCTTATCCTCTAAAGTAATTTCGGGGGCCCAGGGGGCAGCAAGCTTCTTAGACCCCGAAGTTGTAGCAAAGGATGACTTCGGCTTTTTGGATTTTGGGGATTTGTGTGTTGATAATATTTCGATTGTGAGTAAGTTTCAAGATGTTTATCTAGAAGATTTTCCAGGGGATTTGGTGGATCGTGAAATTGAGTTTGTAATTGATGTTGTGCCAGGAACTCAGCCGATTTCGAAAGCTCCTTATAGAATGTCAATGGCTAAAGTGAAAGAACTAAAAGTGCAGTTGCAAGAATTGTTTGATAAAAGGTTCATCTGACCGAGTACCTCGCCTTGGAGTGCACTAGTTCTTTTTGTAAAGAAGGATAGGACACTCTGATTATGCATCGACTATTGGGAGCTTAATAAGGTAACTGTAAAGAATAAATACCCTTTACCCAAGATTGATGATTTATTTAACCAGTTGCAGGGAGCGCAAGTATTTTCAAAAATAGATTTGAGATCCGAGTATAACCAATTGAAAGTTAAAGGTAAAGATGCTGAAAAGACTATTTTTCGAACCAGGTACGAGCATTACGAATTCTTAGTTATGCCATTCGGAGTTACTATTGCACCAGCGGCTTTCATGGATTTAATGAACCGAATTTTTAAAGTGTATTTAGATGAATTTGTAGTTATGTTCATTGATGATATACTTATTTATTCGAAATGTAAGAAGGAACATGAGAAGCATTTAAGAATAATTCTTCAAACCAATAGAGGTAAGAAATTGTATGCTAAATTGAAGTAATGTGAGTTATGGTTGCACGAAGTAGTATTCTTGGGCCGTGTAATTAATAAAAATGGTGTTTTTGTTGACCCACAAAAGATAGAAGCTATTGTGAACTGGCCCACTCCTGCTGATGTTTGTAATTGATGTTGGCCTACCCCGAACGCCTTGAGGTATGAATTCTATATGGATAATTGTGGATAGACTAACTAAATCTGCTCACTTTTTGCCTGTGAAATCTTTTTATAATGCAGATAAACTTGCCACTGTGTATATGAATGAGATTGTTCGATTACATGGTGTTCCAATTTCGATTGTATCTGACAGAGATCCTAAATTTGTCTAAAGGTTTTGGCATAGTTTACAGGACGCAATGGGAACAGAGTTGAGGATCAGTACTATGTTCCACCCACAAATTGATGACCAGTCAGAAAGAACAATACAAACATTGGAGGACATGTTTCGAATGTGTGTTTTGGACTTTGAAGGAAGTTAGGAGACTTACCTACCTTTAGCAGAATTTGCGTATAACAACAGTTTTCACTTAAGTACGGGAATGACACCATATGAAGCTTTGTATAGAAGAAAATATCGGTCTCCACTTTGTTGGACTGAAGTTGGTGATCGAGCGTTGTTTGGGCCTAAAATTGTACACGTTACTATTGAGAAAATCAAGATCATTCAGCAAAGGTTGAAAACCGCCCAAAGCTGACAAAAGAGCTACGCATACCAAAGGATGAACGGTTTAAAATATAACGGTGGTCATGTTTTTATCAAAGTCACTCCGATGAAAGGGCAAACAAGATTTGGGAGAAAAGGAAAATCGGCACCTCGATACATAGGTTCATTTCAGATTTTGGAAAGATTGGGTCCGGTTACCTATCGTGTTGCTTTGCCAGTGGGTATAGAACAAATACGTAACGTATTTCATGTGTCGATTTTGCAAGGCCACCTTTGGGATCCTTTTCATGTTATTGACCGTCATTGAATTGCCTTGGATGACGATATGGTGTATGAAGAAAAGCCAATACAAATTCTTGATCGACAAGTAAATCTGTTGAGAAACAAGATAATCCCAGTGGTGAAGGTTGAATGGAAAGAACATTATGGGAAAGAAGCCACGTGGGAAACAGAAGAGGAAATGAGACAGCGATATTCAAATTTGTTTTTGACTTGAGGTAACACAAGTTGGAGGACCAAACTTCCTAAAGGGGAAAGACTGTGATAACCTTACTCCGTATTATGCTTTAATACTATAATTATATATGTGATTATATGTTTGGTGTGAAATTGCATACTTAATTGTGTGAATTATATGATTTTGAATTCATATCTGTTGTTATAGGAAAAACCTATTGAAATTTTCAACTTTGAACTGAAAATTTTAGGCCTTAGAGGCGCTAGAAACCAAAATTGATTAAGTATTTGCGATCAGCCTAATTTTTAGGGACTAATGTAGAGTTTGGTAAAAGTTTGATTTAGAACGAATTATTTAGCTTTAATTAAAAAAAAAAAAGAAAAAAAAAACTTTGTATCCCTTTTTGATTTTGCTCAGTGTTCCTTTCCTATCTTCACATTCTCTTTGTTCTATTTCATTTTGCAAAGCTCACTTTCCTCATTTTCATTTTGATTGTTGTCCCAAAGGCTCCTTGTTCTGTTCTTGTTCTACATTTTTCATTGCGCAATCCTCAGAAGAAATACTTGAGAAAGGTGGGGTTGGGGGCATATTTGACACAGGTGAGAAATGATCTTGAACTTTGTTCTTCCCGTAGTAATGAAGATTGGAGAATATCTTGTTGCCCCAGTTGGCCGCCAGTTTGGTTATTTGATTTTCTATGAGGCCAATATTAAGAATCTCGAAAAGCAAGTCCAAAAGTTGGAAGATAAAAGATTTGGGGTACAAAAATCAGTTGAAGAAGCAGAGACAAAGAGAGAAACTATTGCACCAGATGTCGCGCGGTGGTTGAAAACAGTGAATGAACTCAACGAAGAGGCTAAGAAATTCCTCGAGGATGAAATGAAGGCAAACAAAGGGTGTCTGAATGGGTGGTGTCCAAATTTGAAGTCACGCTACTCCTTGAGCAGAAAAGCTACAAAGAAAACTCAAAGTGTGGAAGAGCTACGTGGAGAAGGAGATTTCTCTAGAGTGTCCTATCCTGCAGTTGCACCTACTGTGGGGACAACATTTGCATTCACTAGAGGTTTTAAGGGGTTTGAATCTAGAAGTTTGACTATGAATGGAGTTATGGAGGCACTGACAGATGATAGTATCTATGTGATTGGGATATGTGGGATGGGAGGGGTTGGTAAACAGCTATGGTGAAAGAAGTTGCCAAGAAAGCAGAAGAAAAGAAGATGTTTCATAAAATCGTGATGGTAGTAGTGTCGCAAAACCCAGATTTGATTATATTCAAGGTGGGATAGCCAAAATATTGGGTTTTGAATTATCTGGGGGAAACAATTTATTTGCCAGAGCAGGGGAACTAGGATCAAGAATATTGATGGCAGGAAGAATCCTTGTAATATTGGATGATGTTTGGAAGAGACTAGGATTGAATGATATTGGAATTCCATGTGGAGATCATTACAAGGGTTGCAAAATTGTGATGACTTCAAGAAGTGAAGATGTATGCATTGGCATGGACACAGACAAGAATTTCAAGGTTTGGTGTCTTAAGTGAAAAAGAAGCATGGAATCTTTCAAGGAGATGGCTGGAATTTCTAACGACGGTACAAGTCACCCAACTGATTTGCAGTTGACACAAATGGCAGTTGTGAAGGAATGTGGAGGCTTGCCGATTGCTATTGTTACAGTTGGGAGGGCTCTTAGATCCAAAAAAATACCTTCATGGGATTCTGCTCTTGAACAAATGCGAAAGTCTATGGTCAAAAACATCACTGAAGAGTAGGTGAAAAGGTGTTTAAACCTCTGAAGTTGAGTTACAATTACTTAGAAAGTGAGGAAGCTAAGAAATGCCTTTTGTTTTGTTCCTTATATCCAGAAGATTTTGATATTCCAATCGAAGATCTTGTCAGATATGCAATTGGGATAGAGTTGTTTGAGCACATTGATAATGTGAGCCAAGCAAAAGACAGGGTATATTCCATAGTTGATACAAAAAAAAAAAAATAATGCCCAATTATATTCCATAGTTGATGATTTACAAAAATGCTATCTATTGCTGGATAGTTCAAAAAAGAGTGTGTCAAAATGTATGATGTCATACGTGATGTGGCTATATCAATTGCATCCGAGCAACATTCGTTTATGGTGAGATGTGACGAAGTACTAGAAGACTGGCCAGAGAATGTTCGACTAAAAAATTATGCTGTAATTTCATTAAAACTTGATGGTATGCATGGGCTTCTTGGTAGTTTAGAATTTCCAAATCTCAAGCTTCTACAGCTGGATTGCAATGCTAGATTACCACGAATCTCATATGATCTCAACAAAAGAATGGAGGTCAAAGTACAAGAGACCCAAGATAGTTTCTACCAAGGAATGAAAGAACTTAAAGTGCTAGCTTTATCCTATATGTTCAGCTCATTGCCAACGTCATTTGGATGCTTGATCAACCTCCGAACCTTGTCACTTTTTCGTTGCCGACTTATTGATGATGATATCTCTGTAATCGGAGCATTAGAGAATCTGGAAATTTGAGCTTTGCTGGCTCTTATATCAAGGAATTGCCAAAGGAAATAATAGGTCACCTTGCTCACTTGAAGGTACTTGATTTGTTGGGATGTATAGTGGAAAGGATTTACCCTGGGGTTTTGTCAAGCTTATTAAAGCTAGAAGAGCTGTATTGGAACCACCTTTCAACGGTGCTGTAAAGTTGAAGAAAGTAAAGAAGGTGCTAAAGCGATTATCGATGAGCTGGTGTCCTTGTCCAATTTGGTGGCTTTGGATATTGCTCTAATAAACATTACCTTCTGGCCGAGAGGTTTGGTTGTTGAGAAGGTAAAAAAGTTTAATATAGTTGGCGTGACTGACTTTGACTACATCCTTGACCCTTGTTATTCATTATCAAATCTGTTGGAGCTCCAAGTTCAAAATGTGAGTGACATTATTGAAACAAGGCTTAATTTGCTGTTGAAAGGCACTGAAATTCTGGATGTAAACTCAAGAACAAAAGGTTTGAAAATTCTGTGTGATTTGGTCGACAAAGATGGGTTTGAATGCTTAATGAAGTTGAGCCTACGGTATGATTTGGAATACCTCATCAATACAGCAGATGGGGTTCCACAGAGTGCTTTCCTTGTGTTAGAGTTTCTGAATCTTCATGGTCTACGTAATTTCAAAGGGAGCTAGTCATGAATGCCGACTACCGAACAAGGCTTTCAGTGCATCGAAAGTGTTGGTAATGGAATACTTGTCTGAACTGACAAATTTGTGGAAGGTTCCCACCCAACTTGTATGGCTTGGCAACCTGATGTCTGTACATGTGTGGCATTGTGAGAAACTGGAAAGTAAGTTCTCACTTTTCATAGCTAGAGATCTAGTGCAACTGCAGGACCTTTCCATAGGACGCTGTGATATGATGGAAATTATTGTTTCGAGTGAAGGAGGAGAGCATGAAATGGGTTTGAATGCTTAATGAAGTTGAGCCTACGATATGATTTGGAATACCTCATCAATACAGCAGATGGGGTTCCACAGAGTGCTTTCCTTGTGTTAGAGTTTCTGAATCTTCATGGTCTACGTAATTTCAAAGGGAGCTAGTCATGAATGCCGACTACCGAACAAGGCTTTCAGTGCATCGAAAGTGTTGGTAATGGAATACTTGTCTGAACTGACAAATTTGTGGAAGGTTCCCACCCAACTTGTATGGCTTGGCAACCTGATGTCTGTACATGTGTGGCATTGTGAGAAACTGGAAAGTAAGTTCTCACTTTTCATAGCTAGAGCTCTAGTGCAACTGCAGGACCTTTCCATAGGACGCTGTGATATGATGGAAATTATTGTTTCGAGTGAAGGAGGACAGCATGAAATAGCAACAGATAAAATTGAGTTTCCTAAACTAAAGCAATTGCATCTTAGAAACCTGCCAAGTTTTACTGCTATCTGCAAAGCTATGAATATAATTGAGCTGCCACAACCGAGTTACTTGGCACTGTGGGAAATACCAAAGCTGAAGCGTCTCTGCCTGCTTCAGATTCAGAGAGTAATTGTGATCCCATCATTCAACCCCTCTTCAACAAGAAGGTATGCTTCTCTTATTTAAGAGCTTAATTAATTGCTAATTTGTAAACCGCTTTGAATTTATTTACTATTATATCTCTATTTGAGGTTTTTTTCTCTCTTCATAATTGTGTAATAAGATTGTGTGCGTTACTTTCACGCCATATTCAATATAAATTGTGTTTTACATACATTTTTTTGTTTATATATCTCTAATCATACCAAATAAAAAGTAAAGTTTACCAGCCAAATTCCTAGGCATAAAATCTATACAAAATGATGTGATAATTGTATTTTGACAATTTTGAGCCGTAATAATCGATGTTTTGCATTGAAGTGAGAGGGCCACATAAGGTCCCATTGTTCTATATAAAAAACTTTTATTATAAAAAATAAAAAAAATTAAATTACCAATTATTTTATCAACTAGTCACGTGTGTGGGACCCTACTGACATGTGAGTAATTAGTAAAATAGGAGATAGTTTGGTTTGTAAATGTAGCAAAATTCTTTTAAAAAAATAAAAAATATATGTTAAGAGCATAATAATAGGGAATGCATCCCTCCAGCAGTTTGGCCCACTGTGAACCCACCTTAGATCCATCGTGACAATCCAAATAATTCATCTTGTTTGACCCGTTAAGCAGATTATTTATATAAAAAATTAGGTTGATCGGATAATAAGAGTCACTGGATTAGATCACATTTGTATAAAAAATAATTAACAAATAGTAACACTTTCCAATTAGTCTATCAGTTTTTTTAGACAAATGAAATCTGATCAATTTGATTTTTGGCTTGAATGATCTTCTAGGAGGGTCATACAAAATGAGCCATTTCGATCACTAAAAAACAATGTCCAATTAGTACACATTAATTTGTGTTTGGGAGGGGAAAGAATAGGTACACATCTAACTTTTTGCATATTGCACAAAGTGGTTTCATAATCTCATGGTTATTAGGCCAAGATTTTACCATTAAACTTTCGATCACTACGACAAATTAATATTTTAGAGATAAAAATTTAGAGACGAAATCACTTTCTAGAGACTCAAAAAGTAAACCCTTTCGCACCAAATTGTTTTGTTTCTAAAATTACATTTATTAGTGACAGTTTCAAATTTTGTCACTATAGTCGTTATTTTACTTTTTTGAACAACCTTTTCCTGACTACTGTAATTTGCATCCTAATATTTTTTATAATGATATTTTTATTTTTTAGGCTGAAAATGTTTTTCCCTAGAACTTTTATATGTTATAATGGATCATAGAGGTGTGGCCCTAATAATATGCGATTGAGCCATGGATAAACCTTTCCCTTCCAAATTAGAGAATATATGCCACTATAAAATTAAAATAAGGGTCAAAAAATTAATCAATTTAAAAAATATATATTTGAATAGTTTCAACTTTAAAATATTCACTGAAAATATCCTTGGTAAATTAACTTAATCGTTCTTTCATATTGTACCGATCATACATGAATAGAGATATAATTAAACATTATAAAATAAAAGTGTATACTGGGTTGTATTGGCTATAGTTAAGTTAGCATCTATGCAATTTTTTTGTTTATTCATTATATAGTCAATGTAACTATATAAAAAAAAGATTTATTTAGACAATTTATATATTAGAAACTTACAACCATTTATAAGAAAAATACAATGTGTGTGACAGATCAATCTGAATAGTTTTGAAGATTAATATAACGACACTAAAGATTTTCTAAAGAAAAGTTAATACTTACAATTCGTAAAAAGGATATCCTATGGTGTGCATACTATATGCACCTTACCATAAAAATGTGTAATTTTATCACAAAATTTCGTAACAGCAACTACAAAATGCGTAATTTTGTTACAAATTAGTGTAACAAAATATCCAAAATTTTGTGGTTGATGTTGCAAAAATTTGTGGCTTGGTTATGACATTTTTTTTTTAATGTTAATTTGTGATGAGATTACGCATTTTGTGATTGATGTTATGAAATTTTTTGATAAAATTACATATTTTTGACAGAGTGCACACCATAGCATTTCCTTCTGTAAAATAGAGGCTTGAACTAATTGTTCAATGGGACTTCCAGGATTATAAGAAAATATATGGGGCTCATTATTGTACAAACGTATGGGATTTTCTATTGAAAACCCCTATTTATAAAGCATGAATCTGATAAAGTTGTTTAATATATTGAAGGTTCTTAAAATTATTATTACAAATTAAGGCTAATCCATATAGATTTGAAATTTATTGATCAAAGAATGTAGGACAAATTACACTGATAGTCCCTACATTTTGCTGCTTGTGTCATTTTATTCTTACAGATTCAATTAGCTCAATTTTGACCCTTAATTTTAAATTTTGCTTCAATTTGGTCCAATTGATAATGTCGATAGAGTTTTTGACTGAAAATTTCATGGAATTGTTTGATGTTAAGTCACTAAATTGATCGAGCTTACAATTTTGCTCAAAAATATGACGCATGCTGCTCATGTGCGCATTCGCCATAAAAGAATACTAACAATTGGAAGCAATTTGACCAATTTGAGACAAAATTAAAAGTTCAGGGTCAAAATTGATCAAACTGAAATTGCAAGGACCAAAATGATACAATAACTAAAGTACATAGACTAACAATGTAATTTGCTCAAGAATTTATAAGTTAACACAATGTTAATTTTTAAGGTCAATCACACTTTGTGCCCCTAAAGTATTACCAATTCATTTTTTTGGCCTTTTTTATTTCCCAATTTAGTCATTATACCATTGAATTTTGAGTAAATTACACCGACCTTTTTTGAAGTTTGAATAAAATACAAAAAATCCCTTAATTTTGACATAATTACAATGATATTTTTTTAGAAAGTTTAAAGAGACCAAAATCGATGCTGATGGTATAAAGACATAAAGATACACAAATTAAAATATTCATTTTAATGTAAAAGAGATGATAATATCATTTTTTTCATTCATACGACTAACAAATTTAATATGATGACATGGGGACCAAGTGTTAGCTGAATTAAAACTTTAAAATAATCTAGTATAATGATGTCAAACTTATGAGATTTATTGTATTTTCTTTAAACTATAAGAGATGCCAGTGTAATTTACCCTTGAATTTATGTTAGTGTGGTCTCTTTGGAAGATTTTAGAATATTCTACTTTCAATGCAAATTAAAATTAACTTTTCAAATGGTTCATGAACTAATTGTTCAATGGGACTTCGAGGATTATAAGACAATGTATGGGACTTATTATTGTACAAGTTCAACCTGTGGGATTTTCTATTGAAAACCCCTGTTTATTAGAGGTGTACAAAAAAAATGGTGGAATCAATAAATCAATCAAATCCGGTCTAAATCATCGGTTTGTTTTGGTTTTTATTAGTTTTGATTTTGGTTCTGAAGTGAACTGAATTGTGACGTATTTTTTTTTTTTTTTTATTTTTTTATATGTAAAAATTAAAGTATAAAAAGTTTTTTTTTTTTTTTTTATAAGATTTGAACACTAGCCCTTTATTGTGAAATTGATAAATTCTAACCAACTTAACCAAATTAATTATCATTAATTGTTTACTAACATAAAATATATATTATATTTATTATTATGTAAAATTTCTAAAACCGTAAAATCGCACCGAACCAAACTGGTTTCTATGGTTCGGTTCTAGTCTTGTTTCACAATTTAATGGTTCGGCTATGGTTTTAATTTTTCTGGAACCAGTTCCTATGATTTGGTTCCTGGTTTTCTCTAAAATCGAACCAATTTAATTCGTGTACACCCTAACTCTTAATGAAGCTTGAACATGATAAAGCTTTTTAATATATTGAAGGTTCTTCAAATTAGGGTAGATTACATTGATAGTCTCTCTATTTGGTTCTTTGGGCTTGTTTGGTAGAGTTTTTTTACAGCTTATTTCAGCTTTTAGCTTAATTTAAGTTGTTTTATTGTGTTTGGTGTAGCTTACTAATATAGATTATAGCTTTTTGTAAGTGAAAAATCAGCTTTTTGTTGAAGTGGCTATAGGGGTGCTTAATTATTCAGCTTAAGCGGCAAGCTGGGAAGGGAGGGGTGAAATTACTTAAATGCCCCTTATCAACTTCAATTATTACCAAAAAACCAAGATATAAACCTACAACCAAACACTGTGCACTTCTTCAGAGAGACAGAAAGCTTGAGAGGCGATTTCAGGCGGTGATTTTCGGTGGCATGAACCAGCTCTCTGGTGGCGTGAACCAGCTCTCTCCGGTGGCGTGAACTAGCGCGCTCTCTCTCTCTCTCTCTCTCTCTCTCTCTCTCTCTCTCTCTCTCTCCGGCATGAAACAGAGCTGGCTTTGTGAGCTCTCTCTATCTCTCTCTCTCTCTTCGTGATCACGGAAGATCGCGGTAGATCTCTCTCTCTCTCTCCGCGATCGCGGCAAATCTCTGTCTTTCCGACGTTGTACGTGGCAGCTCTCTCTCTCATGGAAGATCACGGTAGATCTCTCTCTGGTGTTGTTCGCAGCAGATCGCGACAGATCTCTCTCTCTCTCTTCGCAATCGTGGCAGATCTTTGTCTCTCTGGCGTTGTTCGTGGCAAATCTCTCTCTCTCTCTCTCTGGTGTTGTTCGCAGCAGATTGCGACAGATCTCTCTCTCTCTTCGCAATCGCGATAGATCTTTGTCTCTCCGGCATTGTTCGTGGCAAATCTCTCTCTCTCTCTCTCTCTCTCTCTTCGCGATCGCGATCGCTACATCGCGACTGTACCTTCGTCGTTGTCCCCCATCCCCATCCCTTTCCGGTGAACCAGAGCCGTCGTCTCTGCCGGCTAGGTTTTCAGTTTTTTTTTAATAATAATAATAATAATAAAGCATTTTAAGCCATTAATGAAATAAATTTTATATTAATTGATACTAATTAAGCCATTAATTGATAATAAATTAAATTAAAAAAATATTAATAAATTGGTATATTTTGTAACAATTTTTAATAAATTAAAAAAATATAAATTAATATTCATGTATTTATAAACTAAAATGAAGAAAAAGGAAAAAAAAAAGGGGCAAAAGCGACATTGCACAACAAAAAGTTATTTTACAGCTTATTCAACCAAACACTATTAAATCCATAATCCCACAGCTGCACCAAACAGGTTAACAGCTTATGTTTAAAGCTATAATCTATAATCTGTTAAGTCAGAATCTATAATTACTTTCCCACCGCTCTACCAAACAGGGCCTTTATGTCATTTTGGTCTCTATAATTTCAATTAGCTCGATCTTTATTCTGAATTTATGATTTTGTTTCAATTTAATCCAATTACTTACAATTGTTAGCATTTTTTTAATGAAAAATATGATATGTGACGTATGTCATGCTTTTCAAGACAAAATTATAAATTTTTTCAACTCAGTAAATTAATTTCAACCAATTTAGTGATAATTTTTCATCAAAAACACTGAAGGCATTATCAATTGGACCAAATCGACATAAAATCTAAAATTAAGAATCAAAATTGAGCTAATTGAAAGTGTAGGGACCAAAATGACACAAGGACAAAATGTAGGGATTATCGGTGTAATTTGTCCTTAAAATTATTATTACAAATTAAGGCTATTCCATATAGATTTAAAAAATATTGATAAAAGAATCTATAAGTTAAGGCACTTAATTTTTAAGGTAAATCATACTTTGTGCCCCTAAAAAGTATTCCTGACGTAGGACGAGTAGCAAGGTTTTGAAAAGCAGTTGCGGTCGCTGTAACGGTGGCGGTGCCGCGGTTGCGGTTGCGGGGGTGTAAAGGCCGTAGCGTAACGGTTGCGGTAACCGGAACCGTGAATTTTTTTATTTTTTGCACAATTTGAAAAAAACTTACCGATACGCATATTTTTTTTCCATAATCATATTTATTGGGTTTTAAAATGAATATTGATCAATTTTTATAAATTTTTAAGTATGATTCAATATATTTCATATTTTTAAATCATTATAAACTGAGTTTTTTATATTTTATTTTACTAATTAATGACTTTATATGTCATAAATCCATATTACACTTGTGGTAAAAAAAAATTATTGGAGTTAGACGTATAAATTTATTTTTTAATTATTATACTTGTAGAAGCATATGCAAATTTTAACTTGAATAGTTTTTAAAAAATAAATTAGACATGCTAATATAATCATATAATAATTAAAAAATAAATTATAAAGAATTTTTTTTGGGGGGTTTGGATCAGTTGAATATTCATTCTCTTTTTAGATAACCTGTAAATAAAAATAAAATAAACTAATAAAAATTGACATGTGTAAAATATCTATTAATATATAATTATAGGTGTTATGTTTTCTAGGTTACGGCACCGTTACGACCGCTATAGCGGCCGCTACGGCCAACACACCTGTGAATCTCAATCACACTGCAAAAGCGGTCGTAACGGGTGGCGGTAACCACCAAAACCGTTACGTAACGGCGTTACGTAACGGTTGCGGCCGCTTTTTAAAACCTTGACGAGTAGGGATTACCATCTTACAAGTAGTGAGCCTGGGTTAAGTATACTAGCAGCAACAACAATAGACTTATAGGGCCAGATTTTGTGGCTACAAAACTATTTGAAAAAATAGGAGTTTAAGGGTTTGTAAAAGGGTAGGGTTTTGGGAATGAAAATACAAGTGTTTAGGGGCTGTTGGTGGCTGTTCTAAGCACTGCGAACAGTAACCTTGTTGGATAGAAGAAGAGACGGAGAGAGAGAGAAGTGCTTCACCCTCACAAGGGATAGGCCAATCACACAAACACAATCTCAAATTTTCATAATAATGGCTCTTGTCCTCAATCATTGAGATTATACATATATTTATAGGCTAAAGACTCTTATAATTTTATAAGGACTATTACTCAAATTGAGAAACTAAAAATATTTAGCAACTACTAATATTCTTGACCAATTAGGACTTCCAATTCTACTTCAATCATGATATGAAACTTTAATGATTTCTAATTCTATTTCAATATCAAAATTAAAAACTTGGATTTTTGACCACTAAGATTATTTTAGACATAATAAAACCCATATATAATAGCCCATTTAATAACTTGACCCAAAATAAAATCCATGGGTGACCTCTATAACCCATGTCCAACAATTGTTGGAATTACCATTATACCCTTAATTACTAAAACCTACTATAATGACATGAAGACTCAAAATTATTCCAAATCTTTAATTCCTGATGCCCTAATCGTGCTTCATGTGAAATTCCAGATTTGCTCTTTTTCTTCTTTCCATGATCTTCATCAATTCCAGATTCTTTTTTTGGCCCTAAACTTTATTTCCCAATTTAGTGCTTACACCAATGAATTTTTGTTAGTGTGGTCTCTTTGGAAGATTCTACTTTCAATATAAATTAAAGTAAAAAATATGATAATGTATAACACATAATTTTGAAATCATTAAAGAAAAATGATAAATTTGATATAATGCATCTTCAAAGTTAACATGAATTAGAGGAGACATGTGAAATGAGTTTATAGTCAAATTTATATATAGACGTACACATATAGATACACACACACACATATATAAGAAATAAATAATAAGAAAAAAAAATTAGTGGGATTGGGATTTTATAGAATTGGGATTGTAGTATGATTCCACTCGATTTTCTGATTAGGATTGTGATCACTTTAAGATTCTATTGTGATTCAAATTGTTTAGCCCAATTGAAATCACAGAATCGTAAAATTCTACTATTTGAATCAAGATTTCGATAATCATGATGATAATTCTTGTACCTCATTATCTAGTGATTGATTCGACTCCACCTTAATCACCATCCAGTATTACCAAAAAGAAACTTAGGCTAAGTTTGGGAAGACTAAATAAGTGTACTTTTTGTCTTTTTGGACTAAAAAATTGAGGTTAAAAATATGGATGTTTGGGTAAACTTTTTGACTTTTTATTGAAAAATGTGTAATAAAAAATTGTAAAAATTAATTTGTAGGGGTAGGGAAAAATTTGAATTGGGAGTTGTGCAGTCGTAATTGTTGACTTTTGGTGAATAGTGTTAACTTTTTAACTTTTTGAGTAACTTTTTAACTTTTTGGCTTTTTTGGAACATCCCAAACTTGGCCTTAATGTGTATTTATATTTGGTGAATTCAAGAATCTAACAAAATAGGTTGGGCTTTTAGCTCGAGGATCTAAAAATGTATTGCAATAGATTTGTAAGAATTGTTTTACATTTAATTATTCAAATATGAAGTATATTAATTTGAAAATTAAATTAATGGATGATGTTTAATGGAATGAAGTATGTCGTGCTTACTAAGTTTGTAACCTCGTGAATGGACTCGTAGGTTAAATTGACTACCATTGAATATTTGTACATCTCTCAAATGGAGAATCTGATGGAGATTTGGCCTGGGGAACTTCAAGCTAAACTAAGAGAGATGGAAGTTCACAGGTGTCACTACTAGAAATATGACTTTTTGCGTCTAATTTTTTGCGACTGATTATTTAACCGTCGCAAAAAATCACTTTTACATAAAAAAAAATTACAAAATCATTTAACCCAAACGTCTTTTTAACCTATCTCCCCCTTTCACTTTTATTTCCCAAATTTGTCTCCAACGGTGGTGACCTCTCTCAAAATCTCTCTCTCGCTCGACTCTCTCTCGCTTGAATCTCACTGTCCAAATCTCTCTCGCTCGACTAAATTTGAATCTCGCTTGAATCTCACTGTCCAGATTTCGATCGGCAGTTGAATCTAACTCTGTCTCTCTCGGTAATCTAGCGTGTTTGTTTCATGCCAAGTTGCTGAATTTCTGTGTTGATTTATTCTGAATTTCTGTGTTGATTTCGATCGTTCTTTAATCTGTGTTGTTGATTTATTAGGTGTCTTTCTGTGTTGTTTCATGCCTAGTTGCTGAATTTCTGTGTTGATTTATTCTGAATTTCTGTGTTGATTTCGATCGTTCTTTAATCTGTGTTGTTGATTTATTAGGTGATTCATCTTGTTTTTGCTAATTTAAAGTTATACAGAGAGATTGCGACATGATTTCGATGATTGATCTTGTTTTTGCTAATTTGTTGGCTTATGTCTGGTGTTTTACCAGATTCTATGAATGAATATTAATCAAAAATTGATGAATGAATATTCTTAAATAACCATGACAGTTAGTGAACTCCAGTTCAAATTTCCTCTCAAAATCTTCCCCAAAAGACATCAGCACAATCTCCATAATTCTTTGTGATAGCTTTGGGGGCTTTATTACTTTAAGAGAGGTCAATGGTCTGCTCTTTTATAAAACTTGTCTGTATATGTGGTGTGGGACTGAAAACAGCTTTGGGGGGCTTTATTACTTTGAGAGAGGTCAATGTCCTGCTTTTTTATTTAAAGGAGAAATTGAAGTAGAGAAAAGATGAATGATTATGCACTCATCAATGTCTGTATAGACACCGTTTTTCTCTTTGAAGAAGAAGAAACATTAGGGACTTTTTTACAGGTTCTGCTTTTCTCTGGTGTGCTTTATGATTGCTCTTTTCTTTGAAAGCTTTTTAAAGAAGAAGAAGAAGATGAAGATGAACAAGCAAAGTAATACTGGTAGTGGACAGAACAACATGCACAAGAAGTTGTTCATTGTTGTCTCTTCTTATTACATATAATACAAAGGTGTTTTTGCAACTTTGCCTTTGCATTTTGCATGTCCTACCCACCCACCCACACCCACCATATATTCTTGGTGATGGACAGAACAACATACACAAGAAGTTGTAACTCATATATTCTTGGTGAATTGAATATGGAGTCAGATGCATCTAGTGGGCAACAAGCTTCAAAAGAAAATGAATAGGTATGCATTTCTCTGCTTTTAATGAATTTTTCAGCTTATTATGAATTAGATTATAAATGATGTTGTAGAATGAAATTTCAAGTTGTCTGTTGATCAGGAAATAATGTGTTAGCACTTAGCATTGGTAAATTGCTCAGACAATTCTAATATCTCCCATTTGATGTTGTTGAATTGAATGGCCTAGATATGGCATATGAACAGATTTGTAGATTTCAGATCTGGATGTTCATGAGTGAGCGAAAGAATAAAGAAACAATCAAACTAAAGTACCTAGGTTAAGCCTTTTGGGCTGGTAGAAGACTGATGTTACATTAAATGGGTTACACAACTTGTACATATATTATCCTTTTGTCTTTCATGAGTGAAGTACGGCTTAATTTATTCATACTGCTATTTTGAAAGTATGGATAAGTTAATATACTTATTGTTTCTTTTGATTTCCTAGGTTTTTGATGTATTTGATGAAAGGAAAAATGGTGTCATTGAATTTGATGAATTTGTCCATGCACTCAACGTCTTCCATCCCTATGCTCCCACAGAAGACAAAATAGACTTTAGGGATCAGATGCAATCTTTTTATTCTTATTATCAAAACATATCTCATGAACTTAACCTCTTGGTGTTACCTTCGTGATGCCCTACAGTTGCATTTAGGCTTTACGATTTGAGGCAAACTGGGTTTATTGAGCGAGAAGAAGTAAGTATTTTACACTGTAAACTTAGCAATTGTTGCCACAACTAATGTTAAAACAAATACATGCTCTGAGAAACATAGACAGTTGATACACTAATTGTGTTTGGAGGTTTTCGAACCTTTTTGAACTCATTATTAAGGTGGCTTGCAAGTTGCAAGCTTTTGAATCAAATTGGTGCTACATCAGGTTCTGCATTTTGTAGATCGATCTCTCTCTCTCTCTCACACACACACACACACATGCATTGTAAAAGAAGTCACATTACTCTTCCCTTTTGTGCTTATATTTATGGGCATGCATATGAGCATAAATGTTTGACTCTCATACATAAAACATTCATAATAACCAATGGCTGCCTCAATTTATCAGGATCTTGGGGACCTTAAGAACAGGAATGATTTGATGGCCAATTCTTTGCTCCATAATTTTTAATATATTGGGACATAAGGCTTAGTTTGGTTTGATTTATGCTTTAAATTTACTGCTATTGACAAATGTGTGAATGACTAGATGAATATAATCTTTTTTATTGAAATAAGTTTGCATTTGTTATCATGCTTTTGCTAAGGCAGTCAACTGGTCAATAATTTTGAGAGGTTTCTTTCTTCTCTAAATCTTACTCGTAATTACCACCAATTTTTCATCATGTACCTATCATATCCAATAACTATTACAATAATTTTGTACCTTCATCAAACTATAAATGGCTAATCAGTTTACTCAATCATCAAACTATTCAAAAATTCAGAACACCACTCACACCACTTGTCCTATATATAAAGTATACAAGTTGTTTAGTGTGAATTATTTGTCACACTCTTTGCATTAACTGATTCAATATTTTAAAACTCAACAACCCTTATTTCATATTTTTTATTCGTAAATTACAAATAGTGTGTATATATATGTATGTATATATGTGCTATTTGTAATCAACTTTTTGGAAGTTAAGTGGAAGATAATGGACTAGCATTGCAATTTAGGGAAGATAAGAAAACTGTTGAAGCATTTCATTAACACGTTGTGTGCATGAGACTTGTTTGGACAAATTAAGGGGGGCTAGCAAAAACATGCCTTTGGACTTTGCAATTAGTTTTAGATAACACACAAAGTGATAAAAAAAAAAAATAAATAAATAATAAATAACTAAATACACGAGTTATAAATGTTTCATAACACAATATCGATGCACATGCTCTTTCATGCACGTTTTGAGTTTTGGTTTTGCTAATGCTGTCATTCTTGGTGTGATGTTTCTTAACATAGTATGTTTCTCTCTTGTTTTTTTTGTTTTTCATTTTTTGAATTGTGTTTTGTTGGTATAACAAAACAACTATCCAACACCTTTGATTATAAAAAA